CATAAACCCTTTCAGAAAATAGAGGAAGAGACACTTCCCAACTCATTCAGTGAAGCTAATATTACCCTGATACCAAAGCCAGACAAAGACACCAGAAGAAAAGAATTCTGTATGTAAAAAATTCTCAGGAATTCACAAAATGAACAAACAGAACTGCTTAGCACCAATACATGAGTTTAACAAGGCCACAAGATACAAGGTCAGTATAAAAACGTCAACTGTATTTCTATATATGCTTAAATATTTAAAGAAGAAATAATACCAATCTTTCAGAAAAGAGGGAATGGTTCCTAAATCATCCTATGAGGCCATCCTATAACACCATAGTCAGACAAAGGCATCACATGAAGAGAAAACTACACATTAATATTCCTCTTGAAATTATACAAAAAACTTTAAATTATTAGCAAACCTAATTTAGCAACATAAAGGGATTATTTACCCTGAGTGGGATTTATCCACGAATGCACAGCTGGTTCAACATCAGAAAATTAAATTAATACATTATAGTAATGTGAAAAACTGACATGATTATCTCAATAGACACTTTGAAAAAGCATATGATAAAATCCAACACCCACTCATGATAAAAACTCTCACAAAACTAGAAAATAAAAGGGAACTTCATCAACCTGACAAAAGGCACCTAAAGCTAATAGTGTATGTAATGGGAAAAGACTGAATATTTTCCTCTTCAGATCAGAACAAGATAAAGATGTCCATTCTTGCCACCTTTATTCAGCATTGTATTGGAGGTTCTAGTCAGTGCAATAGACCAAAATAAGGAAGTAAAAGCCATCCACAGTGGAAAGGAATAAGTTAAACTATCTTCATTCACAGATGACATGATGTAGAAAATCCTAAAACTTTCCCTCCGCCCCCACCCCAACTCCATCTACTAGAACTAAGAAATGAGTTCAGGACGGTCACAGTATATCAGATCAATTTACAAAAATCAATTGTAAATGTGGTATATTTATGTAATGTAATATTATTCAACTATAAAAAGGAAAGAAATACTAATACATGCTACACTATGGATGAACCTTGAAAACATGCTAAGTAAAAGAAGCCAGATACAAAAGGCCACATGTTACATGGTTTCATACATATGAAATATCCAGAGGAGCAAATCTATAGAGACAGAAAGTAGATCAGTAGTGGGCAGGGGCTGGGCAGAGAGAGGAATGGAGAGTGATGGCTAATGGAGCCAGGGTTTCTTTTGGGGTGAAAATGTTCTAGAATTAGATAGTTGTGATGGTTGCACAACTGTGCATATGCTACAAACCACTGGGAATACACTAAAACCACTAAATTTTACACTTTCAAAGGACGAATTTCATCGTATGGGAATTGTATCTAAATTTTTAAAATCTATTGTATTTCTACACATTAGTAATGCATAATCTAAAAGTGAAAATTAAAAATAAATTCAATTCACAAAGAACAAAAAATTGTTAGGGATAAACTTAATGAAAGGAGAACAAGACTTATACACTGAAAAATTTAAAACATTGCTGAGAAAAATGAAATATAAACAAATAAGAGACATTCCATGTTCATGGATTGGACGACTAAATACTGAGATGGCATTTCTCCCCAAATTGATCTATATATCCAATGCATTCCCTATTCAAATCCCATCAGGCTTTTTGTAGAAACTGATAAGCTGATCCATATTGACATGGAATTGCAAAAGACCCAGATTAGTCAAAACAATTTTGAAAAAGAAGACATGGACTTCCCTGGTGGTGCAGTGGTTAAGAATCCGCCTGCCAATGCAGGGGACACGGGTTCGAGCCCTGGTCTGGGAAGATCCCACATGCCACAGAGCAACTAAGCCCGTGCGCCACAACTACTGAGCCCGCGAGCCACAACTACTGAAGCCCGCGTGCCTAGAGCCCATGCTCTGAAACGAGAAGCCACCACAATGAGAAGCCCGCGCACCACAATGAAGAGTAGCCCCCGCTCGCCACAACTAGAGAAAGCCTGCACACAGCAACAAAGACCCAACTCAGCCAAAAATAAATAATAAAGTAAATTAATTAATTTATAAAAGAAGACAGAGAACTTACTCTATCACATTTCAAACTTAATGGTACAGTAATCAAAACAGTATGGTAATGGCATAAGAATAGGCCTATAATTCAATGGCACAGAATAGAGAATCTAGAAATAAACTCATATTTATGGTCAATTGACTTTTAGTGATGACAATTCAACAGGGAAAGGATATTTTTTCCAATAAATGTTGTTGGGACAATTGGATATCCATATGCAAATTGGATGAATTCAGACCCTTACCTTACATCATACAGAAAACTTACTCAAATTAATTATAAATTTAAATGTAAGTGCAAAAACTGTCATTCTATTTTTTTTTAATTAATTAATTTATTTTTGGCTGTGCTGGGTGTTTGTTGCTGCGCGTGGGCTTTCTTTTTTAGTTGCGGTGAGCAGGGGCTACTCTTCATTGCTGTGTGCGGGCCTCTCATTGCGGTGGCCTCTCATTGCGGTGGCCTCTCTCGTCACGGAGCACCGGCTCTAGGCGCGCGGGCTCTAGAGCGCAGGCTTAGTAGTTGTGGTGCAGGGGCCTAGCTGCTCTGCAGCATGTGGGATCTTCCCAAACCAGGGCTCGAACCCGTGTCCCCTGCATTGGCAGGCGGATTCCTAACCATTGCGCCACCAGGGAAGCCCCTGTCATTCTTTTAGAAGAAAACGTATGAGAAAACCTGCAAGACTCTGGATTAGGCAACGAATTCATAGATATGACACAACAAAAGCACAAGCCTAAAAAAATGGATAAATTTGACTCCATCAAAATTAAAATCTTTTGTGCTCCCAAATACACTATCAAGAAAATGAAAGAACAAGCCACAGACTGGGAGAGAATATTTGCAATACATATATCTGACAAAGGTCTTGCATCCAAAACTTAAAACTCCATATGAAGGAGATAAATAGACCAGTTGAAAACAAATGAGCAAAAAGCTTGGACACTCTGTAAAAGAAAACATATGAATGGCCAAGTAGCATATAGAAAGATGCTCAATATCATTATCATCAAGGAAATGCAAATTTAAAATGGTCATGATACACACTCACTAAAATAGCTAAAACTAAAAAGACTGACAATACCTAGTATTAGCCAGGATGTGGAGCATATTTAATGCTCACACATTTCTAGTGGGAGTGCTAACCTGTACATTTATTCTGTGATATAGTTTTAGTAGTTTATTTTAACATTAAACATCCACTCATAAGACCAGTAATTCTACTGCTAGGTATTTATCTGAGAGAAATAAAAATATATGTCCAGAAAAAGATTTGTGCATGAATGTTCATATATTTACTCATAATAAAAAATATTGTAAATAATGCAAATGTCCCTCAACAGGAGAATGGATAAACAAATCGTGGCATATTCTTACAATGCAATACTATGTAGTGAATGTAATGTAATGAATACTAACACATGCAACAACATCGGTGAACCTCAAAAACATTCTGCTGAAAAACATTCCAGCTCTCTCACTGAATCCGTCATCAAGTTTTGTGTATTTTATCCTCACAATGTATCTCATGTCTTTTTTTCTCCTTTTCTTTTTTCTTTTTAAAAATTGAGATATAGTTGACATATAACATTGCATTACTTTTAGGTATACAGAGTAATAATTTGATATATGTATATAATGCAAAACACAAAAAAGTACATCCTGCATGATCCTGGTTATATGAAGTTCTGTAACAGACAAAACTAATTTATAGTGCTATAAATCAGATCAATGGTTTCATGACATGGGGAACAGGAAACTTCAGTTGCACAGGGGTATGAGGGAACATTCTGGGGTATCAGAAATGTTCTTCTACATCTGGAAAACAATGGTGGTTACTTGGGTGAATACCTTTGTGAAATGTCATTGTGCTGTAGATACTTGAAATGTTATTGTATGTAAACTATTCCTCAATAAGGTTTATTAAACTTTCTAAATACTCAAAGAGTTAAGGGATAAGATAGCATCCATTAAAATTATTGGAGGTTTTAAAACAAAGCAGGTAGAGATTTTAATTTAAGAAAAGACAGATATGAAAATTCAGTTTAAAATCTTAGACATGAATAGCATTTGAAATATCTGAGTAGATAACTGGACATAACTACTATATGTAAACTGGACCCAGTGAAACAGAATAGTAGTAAATTGAATGAGAGAACTAAGAAAATCACCTAGGGGCTTCCCTGGTGGCGCAGTGGTTGAGAGTCCGCCTGCCGATGCAGGGGACATGGGTTCGTGCCTCGGTCTGGGAAGATCCCACATGCTGCGGAGCGGCTGGGCCCGTGAGCCATGGCCGCTGAGCCTGCACGTCCGGAGCCTGTGTTCCGCAATGGGAGAGGCTACAACAGTGAGAGGCCCGCGTACCGCAAAAAGAAAAGAAGGTGTAACTTTTCTTCCATCAGAATGTAAAAGGGAACATAAAAACAGATGAAGTAGAGAGTAAGCAGAGAATCAGATAACATGATCAGATTCACATTTTATAGCCATCCTTTTGGCTGCTGCAAAAGGATAAATTATAGGGCAAAGATTTAATGTAAACTGTCAGGTGAAAAATGCAGACTACAAAGTAATATATATATGGGATTGACTGTCTACCTTACGCTCTAAAAAGAATACTGGAACCAAGCAACTATAATAAAATTAACAATCATTATCTTTGAGTGGTAGAATTATTGGTAATTTTTATCTTTCTTTATACTTTTCTGGATATTTTTGATGAAGAAAATGTTACTTTAAAAACGTAGATATTTCCACAAATTTTCTTTAAATAGGAATAGGGAGGCTATCTGAATATTGTAAGATCCCAAAACTCACTAACTTAACTTTTCTTTCACACAAGTGGACTAAATATTGAAAATAAAACAGAATCTGATTGCTTTCAACCTTTATGATTATTAACAGAGATTGAAGCTCATCTAAATATTTTGGGGTGATAATTTCTTTTAGGAACTTGATCAAAATGCCACTGAAAAAGTCCACGCAATGTTCACAGCCATTGACGAGCTCTTGTATGAGCAGAAGTTGAGTGTACATATTAAAAGTCTACAAGAAGAGTGCCAACAGTGGACATGTAGCTTTCCTCACCTCAGGTATTGGAGCCCTTGTATATTCATGGCTAATAATAAAATTTGAAGATTTCCAAGAAAGCTTGTATTCTGAAATCTCTATGGGCATAGATTTATATAAATGAGGCAATGTGGTATAAAGCCTCAGATGACAGAAAACTCATGTTGATGGAAGTTTCTCAGAGTTTTCATAACTACCTATATTGTCCTAATCAAGTAAAAACAACTTCTATACCAGTAACTGTGATCTGTGTACTATGGCTGTCCAAACAGCCTTGCTTTTGAACAAGAGGGTCAGAAAATGTATTTGATTACACTGTTGTCTATAAGTAAATTCTTATGCATGTATACTTGAAAGCAAACATAGGCTATTAGGAAGCTTTCCTTAGAAACCGCATTAGTGCACTTACTACACATACTTAAAATTTATAAAGCTTCATGTTCTTAAGAATATAATTCAGTTTTCACTAATTTGGCCTGGCTTTCACCCACTTTGGCAAATTTAATGAAGATTGCTATAGGGGATGGAGGGAAAATTACAAATGTTTGCCCAGTTCCCTTGGATTTTTTTCAGTGGGGTGGAAAAGCTTTATCCTTTCTATCTCCATTGTATAGGAGAGAGATATACCTTTAAAAAGGCTCTGGATTCACATTTCTCTCAAGAATCATTCTAAATCAGTAACGGACTAAGTATGTACTAGACTTCTATGTAGAGCCATCAAATTTGTTCCAAAAATACCTACATTTTGTATGTATGCCAGGTGAAGGTGCTTAATTATCTCTTTATGTTCTTCACTTTGAAGGATTCTGGGTAGGCAGATAATCACTCCAAGTGAAGGTTATGGACTGTATCCTAGATCCCCTTCTGCTGTTTCAGCTTCACATGAGACAACAATGTCTCAAGAAAGAGATTCTACTATGTAAGTATTCTAATATGTAAGTACTTATGTATTCTAATGTGCAAGTATTATATTCTACCAGTTATACTAAGGGATTAAAATACTTCTTCCTATTTATTGGTATTTAGTAAAGCACAGCAAATTCTGTAAGATTGACCATAGTCTTTATGCATATTAGAATTCTGTTACTTAGTTTTTTGTTCAAAAGTAAGACATTCTCTAGGATTTAAGGGTTATTCAGATTCATATATATCTACGTCCATCTATAAATCTAGGCACTTCCCTCTTGGAATAAATGTGTAGATAGACTGGTTTAAAGAAATTCAGGGATCTAAGAAACAGACTTTAAAATTTTTTGAAAAAAATTCTGAAAAGTCATTTTCTTAAACATATAATACTAATTAAAACTTAATTTCTTTATAGAAGTTAAACTGGTATTAGTTTATCAGCTTAAAATGGGTAATTAGTACACTAGCTAAAATGGCTAATTCTTTAACACCTCAAACTCTTTATTTTTATTTTTACTTTTTAAAAATATTGGGAATTCCCTGGTGGTCCAGTGGATAAGACTCTGTGCTCCCAATACAGGGGGCCTGGGTTCAATCCCTGGTTGGGGAACTAGATCCTGCATGCATGCTGCAACTAAGAGTCCGCATGCTGCAACTAAGAAGCCCGCATGCCGCAACTAAAGATCCCATGTGCCACAACTAAGACCCAGCACAGCCAAATAAATAAATAAGTAAATAAATAAATTCCTTTACTTTTTCCTAAGACTGTAATTTTACTTATACTGATATCTTCTAAGAGTTGTAGTAATACTTTCTTTTGATGCCTTTTGGGGCTTGTAGTAATTTCATCAGACCACAAAGTAAAACATTATTGTCTTAGGCCAGTTAAGGTTATGAGATCTGGGTTATCAACTAACTGATTTTTGGTCAGAGAATGGGATTTGTTTACTTCTTTCAAAGTGATTTAAGCTCAAGCTTCTGGTCACTAGGCTGAGCTTTCTTTCTAAATTTAAACCTCATGTATTACATCAATAAGCCTTTTTAAGTTTACTCCTTTTATATAAAGGTCAGACTTTTACAAACTAATGTCTCCCACAGAAATGATGTATCCTTTAATTCTCACTGACCAAAATTACATAACTTATGTCCTGCTATTAAGATATATTTACCTGATCTATTAGTATAAACTTTATATATGCCTTATTATTTTATAACTATAAATAGCAGTTCCATTTAGAGATTCCAAAGAAATAAGGAACAAATCTGAGCAGTTAGCTCCTCCTTTTTTAGGACATCTGGCTAAATCATCATTCTGCAACTTAGTACAGGCAACCTTTCTTTCCTTTTTACTTGCTACCACCACTGCTGCTTGGTGCTTCTTATTTTTCGTTCTGCTTTTCTGGATTATTTGACTTACAGTTTTCAATAATTACCTTTCTTTACTATACAGATGAAACAATTACCTATCTATACTTTATATACAGACATATATTTAAATGAAACAAGTTATTCAGCTATATTAGCACGTCACTACTTATTGAAAATAATAACAAATTAAATATAATCCATATTTATTTTCCTATCACTACCACTTTGTCCATACTTGATACTTTCTATCTTGAGTACCATTAATGAACTCATTGCGTTTCAAAATATTTATATATTTTAATTAACCATAATTATTATTGATGCTCAAATTGTTACAACTTGGCCATGTCAAGCTAGTTCCTTTGTTTTTGTCTTGAATGTTTCCTTGTTTTCTGGTTACAATAGGATGCTCCAGGCCCATCCTGGAAAAAAATTGTTTCTTCCTTTAAGGCATGGTATCAGCTGAAATTCAAGGAAATCTGATTCCTTTGAGAGGCTACTAGTATTTGAGAACAAAATTTGGGTAGTGAGGGTATGTAAGTTGGTGATGATGCTGCAATTCTGCCACTTTTTGTAATAAGTGGTGTGAAAAAATGTGTCAAGAATTCATTTTGATATTTTTCAGTTTAACAAATCAGTTTTCCATAAAATATGAGGTTGATCATCTACTTTCTACAAAAATAACATTTCAAATTATATCCATTCTTGCCCCTCCACATTACATCAGATTCTCCTTTTAAAGTTCAGCGTTAATCCTTTCTGTCCCCACTTAAAAATCTTCAATAGCTTCCCAGTGAATTTAAGATACAAATCTAAAATTATATCATAAGCTGGCCCCAGCCTACATCTCTACCTTTATCTTCTGTCACTCTCTCTCTCATTCATTAATCCTCCCACACTGGATTTCTTTCAAATCTCAAATGTACTAAACAAGGTATTCGGTCCAGCTTCCATTCTTGAGGAGTTCTTGGGCCAGAGGAGAGTAGTATAATAAACAACACAAAAATACAGTCTCTTCCTTTTTGTATCTCTAACACCTCGTACAATGTGTAGAACATGGTTAGCATCAACTTATTTTTTTTTTACTAAATCATATTTATATGAAAACAAACTCCATGAAAATGAATTAATTGATATTATGGTGGCAAAACAATGTTATCAATCAAGACGAATTAGTGTCTAGGTCAAAATGGAATTCCAGAAACTTTATAACAATAGAAGATGGTGGCAGCATAAGGAGAAAACACAGCCCAGAAAAGGACCATGAAGAAGATGAGTCTGAGGACATTTCCATTTGAAAAGAAACTATGCAGTCATCTGCTTCAAGTTAGCTTAAGGGGCTTACCTACCCTTACTTTAAATACATACCTCAACAAAAATTAACTATAATATCTAATAAGTTGCTAAAGTATATGACTATATGCAGAATTATAACCCTTAAAAAATCATTAAAGAATGGAGAGCTCAGAAATAAACCTCTGCGTATATGAGTAAATAATTTTCAGCAAGGGCGCCAAGACTACACAATGCGAAAGGACAGTCTCTTCAACAAATGGTGCTGGGGAAAGAATGCAAAAGAATGAAGTGGGACCCTTATACCATATACAGAAATTAACTCAAAATGGATTTTATAGACCTAAATGGAAGACCTAAAACTATTAAAACTCCTAGAATAAAACACAGGGGAAAAGCTTCAGGATATTGGATTTGGCAATGATTTATTGGATAGAACACCAAAAGCTTAGGCAACAAAAAGCAAAAATAGACAGATGGGACTACATCAACCTCTAAATTTTCTGTGCGTCAACAGAAACAATCATCAGAGTGAAAAGGCAACTTATGGCATGGGGGAGAATATTTGCAAATTGCATGTCTGATAAGGAGCTAGTATCTAGAATATATGAGGAACTTCTACAATTCAACAACAACAACAAAAATAACCCAATTAATAAATGGATAAAGGGGGGCTTCCCTGGTGGCACAGTGGTTAAGAATCTGCCTGCCAATGCAGGGGACACGTGCTGTGGAGCAACTAAGCCCGTGCGCCACAACTACTGAGCCTGCGCTCTAGAGCCAACGAGCCACAACTACTGAGCCTACATGCTACAACTACTGAGGCCCATGCGCCTAGAGCCTGTGTTCTGCAACAAGAGAAGCCACTGCAATGAGAAGCCCATGCACCGCCATGAAGAGTAGCCCTGGCTCGCCACAACTAGAGAAAGCCTGTGCACAGAACAAAGACCCAACACAACCAAAAATAAATAAATAAAATACAATAAAAAAAAAGAAAATGTGGTATATACATACGATGGAATATTACAGAAGGAAATCCTGTCACATGCTACAATAGGGATGAACCTCAAAGATATTATGCTAAGTGAAATAAGCCCGTCACAAAAGGACAAATACAATATGATTCCAGCCATCTTTAGTATCTAAAGTAGTCAAATCATAGAAACAGAAAGTACAAGCGGAGTTGCCAAAGGGAGGGGAGGAAGGGGAAGGGGCAATGAGTGTTTAATGGATATCAGAGTTTCAGTTTTGCAATATAAGAAAGTTCAAGAGATCTGTTGAACAATAATGTGAACATACTTAACACTGTTGAACTGTATGGTTTTAAATGCTTATGATGGTGTATTTAATCTTATATTGTTCACCACAGTTTTTAAAAAATCATTAAAGTGACATGGTATGGTTTCTCCTAAGCCCACCTCCCTCATGTCACTCATTACAAATTATAGCTTTTGCTTTCATTTTCTTTGATTTTTTTTTTTTACAACTGTCCTAAATGCAAGAGCCCAGTCAAGCTAATTACAAATCAGACTTTTTCAGACATAAAGAGCTTTCTGAAGCTCTCCAAAACCATGGAGATGTTCTTTTTCCGTTTTTCTACTGGTAGGGCCATCCACAATCATATTTCCTTTCCTAGTGTACTAAGTTATATTTTCTTCCTTTTGGCATCATGAGATCACAACTTCATGTAACTTTCCTCTATTTTGATCATCGCTAGAGGTCCACTGGAAGATAAGTTGGTCTGAAATGGAGTTGAGAGTGGTTAATTGTACTTTTCAGATCCTAGTCAGGAAGGAGAGAGCTCTTGGCCACTTGTTCCTCCTAGCCAACCTGGAGGGCCTTGCAGTGATCACCTCCATGAAGGCTGCAGAATTCTGCCTCCTAAGGCCTACACCTGAGGGCTGGCTCCAAATTAAACTCTTTGTTTAAATAAGAAACCCAGCAAAGTCATTTTATCCTCCATGCATGTGGGAGAAGAATAAAGTGGCAATGATTTCTTTCCGCTCACAAGAAAACAGATCTGAACTTAAATATTACTATCAGGGCAATACATTATTAGATAAGACCACTGTTATTTTTTTAGTAAGTAAGAGAATTACAAACATTTTAGAAGTTAAAGGTTATTTTCCAGACATGGTAATCTCTGAAGTCTGATGATTTAAAAGATCCCTTTGTTAGAAACAACATTTGCAAAGACAGCTTTATGATGTAGAATACTATCTGTTCTTTGCTGCAGCTTTAGGGGAAATGGGAACACTTTTCCTTCTCATCTAACTGAAAATTTTTTTAACTGACAAAAAGGCCTATACTTTGTTAGAAAAGCCTATTTTTTTTTCAGAGCAAGTAATTCCATTAGTTACCACTGACTAAAAAATGATTGGTTAGTAATACAAATGGAACGATACAGTAGCACAATAACATAAGGAATGCTGGGAGTGCAGTGTTTGACATGGGTTTGACAGCTTTTAATTTTGTCATGTTGTCATGTTGAAAAAAAATACTAACACCACTGTTTTATAAAAGAAATGACATATTAACACAAAAAAGCATGTCTCAAAATAAGGACAGTCCTTTTCAAGAAAGGGCATTTTGTAGTCTTACTGAGCATTGTTCTTATTTTGCTCATTTTGATGTGGATCCGTAAAAATTTTGTCATGGATTGCCATAAATCTGTTGACTAGATTTTGGGTATCACTGTTTAGAATTTCAGAACAGAGACTTAAAAAACCTAAAGTCTCAAGTTTAGAGACTTTTATAAACGATAATACCAGCTGGTTTTGATATATTTGTTCTTCAAACTGTTTTCCCATCTCTTATTGTCTCTCTGTCCCCCATGCCTCCTGCCATGGTCCAGGCTCTCATCAGCTTACCAGCTCTTGTTTCATCTTTTGCACTAGCCTCCTAACCACATTATCCTCTTCATCACCACCACAGTGATCTTCTAAAGCAAGGATGCTGTCATTCCCCTTCTTAAAAACTTCAATTCCATTGCTATCAATTAGCCAAAGTTAACAAAGTACTTCACAGTCTGGCCTAATACCCTCCAGCCACTTCCTATGAACAATACACCTTATTTAATGGCTTACATAACAGAGAAATTTCTCTTAAAAGAAGTCTGGAGGAAGAGTATCTAAAGATAGTACAGTGGTAGTATGGTGTTTTCAGGGTCCTAGACTCATTTCATCTTTCTGCTACATTGTGCTAGCCCAGGATACTTTTCCTGAGTTTTGGGGTTTTTCTTGGTGGTCCAAGACAGCTGATAGAGTTCCAAACATGACATTCACTTTCCAGGTAGCAGGAAGCAGGAAAGGCAGAAGGGCAAAAGGGCACCCCTTAAAGCTAACCCAGTTCTCTTTAAACAGCCTCCCCAGAGTCCCACATAACAATTCTGCTCATATCTCATTGGTCACATCTGGCTGCAAGGTGGTGGGAAATGTCATCTTTGAGGTGCATGTATTGCTCTCCTGAATTAAATTGGCATGATGTATTAGGAGAGGCAGGGAGAATCGATATTGGGGGCACCTAGCGTTCTCTGCCACATATGTATAGAGTTTTTTGAAATTACTGTACATATTTTATAATCTTTTTATAATTACCATTTTATTATGGGAATCTTCCATTTTGTCCCCCAACATTAATTTAGTAACCTCATAGAATTCCACTGCATGAATATACCATTATTTAAACAACCAATCCCCTATCCTATATTTTGAAACAGTTGGGACAGTTTTGAATTTTAGCAATTATAAGCAGTTCTGTGATGATAATTTTTATAGCTAAATCTTATAGGTCATATCCTCGAAGGAAATCCCCTACAAATGAAACCACTGAATCAAAGTGTATTTCTGTTTTAAGGTTTCTAATACATATTTCCAAAATGTCTTCCAAAAAGATTTTCCCACTAGCCTTGCTGAAAAGTGCCATAGGTTTATTCTTTTCTCATTGTTTAAAAAATACTTAAGGTACAAAAAGATATAAAGAGTAACACAAAGCATACATTGGTTATATTTAATATTTGGTTAAACTGAGAGCCATTTAAAAAATTGTACTGCTCAGATTTGACTGACTTTCTCCAAAGTAAACCTGCTGAAGTGAAGGCGTCATCATATATTCGTTGAATACCTGGGTAGGATGAGAAATTTAAATAGAAGTAAGGGAAGATACTTGCCCTTTAGGAGTATACATTTTGAACAATGACGGAGTTATTGAAATAAGCATATAACCTCCTGAGGTACTTTAAAGAGCTAATTATGAATGTAAATATTATTAGATTTTAAAAAATATTTTATAGCCATAGCTGTTGCATCTGAAAAGATAGCAAGCAGTATTCAATAGTGCATAATATACCTAAGCAGAGTGGGTCTATGGCTAGTATTTATTTATTCCTGTTCTGAGAAATAACAGGTATTAAGGTTTAGAGTAGCCCAGGAAGGTGTCACTAGGGCAAGGGACCTTGAGCTGAAACTTGTGCGAATGAGTTCCTTTGAGAACTGTTTATGTTGAACATAATTAATATTTTTCCTCTTCCAGATTTGGTATTAGGGGAAAGAAGTTACATTTTTCATCTTCATATGCTCCTAAAGCATCTTCCATTGCCAAATCCCCTAGCTTGTGTTCTATGGAAAGAGAAGAGGAAGACTGTATAATCTTCTCGGAAGGAATAATAGAGGAATACCTAGCATTCGACCACACAGATATGTGAGTATTATGTCTTTTAAACTTTTTACTCCCCTGCTATTTTGTTGTTAATATCTATTTTTTCTAAAGTATACTACCAATACTACCTATAATTAAGTTGATGTCTGTTTATTTCTTTTCTATTAGTTCTCAGTTATCCAGTGTCATGTACTTAGTTGATATAAATTCCTATTGCTTTCACATACCAGTCTTCCTTGTATATTTTCTTCCTACACACATCATTTGCCTCTTCCTGAGATTAAACATTTTTTAAATGAATTTTTTTCTCCACATAATTTGATTTTCCTCTTTGTAAAGTATCACCAGTAACTCATGAAAACTTTATTCATCTGATTCTAAATCCAGTGCTCTCCTCACTATTCCATGCTACTTTTCTGATATATTAAACTCTTAAATTATTCCTCTAAGCCTTTAAAAGCTCAGAATTGATAGTCACAGTAGTACATCTAGAAGTGAGAATTTCATTTTAGGCTGTGAGGCTGTGGTTAGGTCTAGTTAGTGTCACATGATTCTGGACTTCTTCCCATATTTCCTACTGAGCCATGCTTACTACATGCTCAAGGTACACAGTCCTAGGGTCAGGTAAACACAACCCAGATTTCCAAACATAACACCGTTGGGCTAGCTCATTTTTCCAAGGGAATCATAAGTATGCTGTTTTGGTTTTGCAGAGATTGCCCCCTTCCCTTTCACTTCATCTGGCCTGAGTCAAATTATCCATATTTTCTCTTCCTTTTTCCTCAAAGGTCTTTTCCCTTCATTTTAGCTTATAAAAAATACAGCAGATTTAACTAATTTAAAATGTGATGTTCATGGCTCATAGGTGTCCCTGGGGCATCTCTTCCCCTTTCCTGATAGTAAACCGAAATGAATTTTCAGGTAAAATGGAAGATTTTTAGAAAGGCAGTCTTCTCTTTAGAGATATCACTGAGATATTGAGATGTGATGAATGAAATCATGTAAGTTTGGAAGAAAATGAGATATGAAAGATTTTTTTTTAAATAACTTGGGAATAGGGAAGGTCTTTCTAACCATAGCACAAAATCTACAAGTCATTTAAGAAATTCTTTAAAAAACTACATAAAATAGTATTTCTGCATAGAAAAAATTCATAGAGTCAAAAGACAAATGACAAACTGGCAAAAATATTTGCAGTTCATGCATAGACAGAGGCTTAATTTCCTTAATATGTATATCAGTAAGGAAAAGATTAAAGATGAAACAAAGAACATGAATAGTTCACATTATAAGAAGATGGATTTTAAATATATGAAATGGAATTCATTCACAATTAGAGATACAAATTAAAACTATAATGAGTATTCTTTTACATGTCAGACTATCAAAGAACAAAAGATAAAGGAGGTTAATAATTCCTTGAATGAGAAAAGAGGCATATTCTTTCACTACTGGAGAATTATACCACCTATTTATTTATTTATTTATTTACTTAGGTTTATCAAAAATTTATTCTTCTTTATTGTCAGCACGTTCCATGGTATGGATGTATCACAGTTTGTGCACCTGTGGAAGGACACCTGGGCTATTTCTAGCTTTTGGCTATTATTAATAAAGCTGCTATGAACATTCACGCACAGATTTTTATATGAACAAAAATTTTTATGTCTCTGGGATAAATGCCCGAGAGTATACTTTCTGGATCCTATGTATACCACCTCTTTAAATTGAAATGCACATACCCTTTGACTCAATAATTCTATTTATAGGAATTTATCCTACAGATATAATATCCATGTAGCCAAAGAAGTACATACATATTGTTCCCAACTTAAGATGAGTTGACTTATGATTCCTTGATTTTGCGATGGTACAAAAGTGATACATATTCAGTAGCAACTGTACTTTGAATTTTGATTTTTTTTCCCTTGGCTGGCGATATGCAGTATGATACTCTCTCGGGATGCTGGGCAGCGGCAGCAAGCTATGGCTCCCAGTCAGCCACACAATCATGAGGGTAAACAACCAATATACTTAAAACCATACAACCATTGCTTTTCGCTTTCAGTAGAGTATACAATAAATTACATGAGATATTCAACACTTTATTATAAAATAGTTTTTGCGTTAGATAATTTTGCTTAGCTGTAGGCTAATGTAAGTGTTATGAGCACATTTAAGGTGGGCTACGCTAAGCTATAATGTTCAATAGGTTAGGCCTATTAAATGCATTCTTGACATGATATTTTCATAAGTTCATTGGGCTGTAACCCAATATGTAAGTTGAGGAATATCTGTAGAAGGGTATTAATTGCAGTATTGATTATAAAAGCAAAGGTTAGTTGATCGATAACTGTCTAGTTAGATATATTATGGTATATCCAATGGAATACTCTGCAGTTATTTTTGTTTGTTGCAGTTATTTTTTAAAAGAGGCAGATTTATATACATTGATAGGGATCATGGACAAGATACACTGACAGAAGAGTGAGGTGCAGTACAGTGTATAATGTAACTATCTCTCTGGACCTACGTGTTTGCTTCTGAGAATGGGGACTGGGGGACAGAGATGTAGGAGACTTATTTTTCACTACATACATATATTTCCTTCTATACAATATGAATTTTTATCATATGACTATGTTATCTCCTCTAAAAAGAAATATAAATTGAAATACATTTAATGCTAATCAGCCTCCTCTGCCACTTAATGCCAGGCTACCTCTTCCTTGGGAAAGGAGAAGCAAAGGGAGTCTGGCTGCCCTGCTTAAATCTCTTAGCATCCTTCTTACCTGCCTACGGTTTCCTATTTCATTCTTGAGCACTTTGTTGCCCCAGGAGTAACTTTCACTGTAAAGGTACTTCTCTCCACCCAAGCCAGTTCCAGAATTTGCTTTGTCTTAGTTTATAATACATCTGTCATAGATAAGCACATCCATCAGCCAAATTTTCTTCCCCCAGAAATCTGGGGCTACTGGCACTCATTGCCAGAGAAGAGACAGACTTGCCTAACTGGAAGTTTCTGGATTATAGATACACAGTCTCCAGAAGAGTCTCAGAGTAGTTTCCTGTGCTGTTGGGCTTCCCTCTTTTTCCTTTACAGCCAATTACCAAATGTTTATTTGGATTAGTAAAAGTATACTAATTTTAATAATCTATGTGGACTACTTCCCTAATGAATCATTGCCTCAAATAATTATGCAGCATAATCACAGTTATATGCGCATCGTTAAATGTGTCAAGTTAATATTAATCTAAATGTTACCCAGTTACAACAAAAAGAGTATTTTTGTGTGCTTAATTGTCATAGGTTGCTTGTTGATCAATTTTAAATGCCCATCTATTTAAAGCTTAAAAAAGTACAATGATTCTGTCTTCTTTTTCTTGTTCTATTTTTTTGGCAGAGTAGGGGGGTGGGGTGGGATGGATGTAAAAAGGGAAATGCAGAGTCTCCTCTGTTGAAAACTCCCTTAGTTCACAAGCCTATTTAATACCTGTGCTATATATGCGGGGAGGAAGGGGGTGGTGGCGGGGAGGAGCATAAATCACACTCCTAAGCAGCCAAAAGACAGTGGTGAACACCCAGTGAAGAATAACCATGAAGTCTTTCCTTCTTGCTTCTGTTAACAGGGAAGAGGGGTTTCATGGAAAGAAATCAGAAGCAGCTACAGAGAAACAGAAATTAGGGTACCCACCTATTGCTCCATTTTACTGCATGAAAGAGGATGTCCTTGCTTATGTGTTTGACGATGTGTGGAGCAAGGTCCTAAGCTGTATGGAGCAGCTGACACGTAGTCACTGGGAGGGATTTGCTTCTGGTAAGGCTCTTTGTGAAAACAATATAAAAAAATAATTGTTTATGCTTTCCAAACCGTAACCAGTCTATTAAATTATATGTTCATTAGTACTAAAGAATCATATTTGTATTTCTCATAGAAACTAACAGATATTTGGAAAGTATCTGGGAATGAGTGCATAAGTAACAAGGCCTACTCTATGATGACTAGATAGAGATTGTGCTTTCTCTTTGAATATAATTATTTGTGAGAAAAAACATGTGCAAATACATTTAAAAAACTGCTTTATTGAAGAATTGATATACAATAAACCAATCATATTTCAAGTGTATTATCTGATAAATTGACCTATGTATACAGCCATGAAACCATGAGACAATCAATACAGTGAATATATCCATTACCCTCAAAGTTAATAACCTTGTAATCCCTCCCTCCTGCCCCTACCTGACCCACCATCCCCAAATGACAAGTTATCTGCTTAAATGGTATCATGTAGTATTTACTCTTCTTTTGTCGGCTTCTTTCCCTCAGTGTGATCATTTTGACAGTCATCCATGTCACTGTGTGTGTCAGTAATTTATTCCTTTTATTGTTGAGTTGTATTCCATTGTTCCACAACTTGTTTATCCATTTATCTGTTGATGGACATTTGGATTGTTTTCATTTTTGGACTATTAATGCTGTTATGAACACTAATGTACAAGAATTTTGACACATATTTCCTTTTCTCTTGGGTAGATTTCTTCAAGTGAAATCGTTGAATTATATGGTTAAATGTATATTTAACTTCTTAAGAACTGTCTGTATTGATTTTCTGTGTTGCACAAAAATTATCACAAACTTAGCAGCTTCAAACAACACACATTTATTATCTCACAGACTTGTGGGTCAGAAGTCCAGGAACAGCCAGCTAGTCATTTACTTAAGATCACACAAGGCTGCAATCAAGGTGTTGGCTAAGGCTGGGTTCTCATGTAGAGGCTCAACTAGGAAAGGATCCACTTCCCCTTTTTGTGTTTTTGGAAGCATCCAGTTTCTTGTAGCTGTAGCAGTCATGGCAGCTTATTTCTCCAAAGCCAGCAAGAAAGACTGAGAGCTAATCTGCTAGCAAGACAGAAACTTATATAACATAATCATGGGGGTGACATCCCATCACTTTTACCATCATCTTTTGATCTGAAGCAAGTCACAGGTCCTGCCCATGCTCAAAGGGAGGGGTTTAAATGAAGGTGTGAACATCAACAGCTGAGAATCATGGTGGGGGGGTGGGGGGTGCACCTTGGAATTTGTCCACTAGTCTTCCCACTGGCCCTTAGTGATTCATGTGCTCCCACAGGCAAAGTACATTCAACTCCCTTCAAAGGTTTCCAAGAGAATCATCTATTACAGCATCAGCTCCAAAGACTTTGAATCAGGTCCTGGTATGAATGAAGTTCCTGGATGTAATACAGGAAGTGAAATTACTGGGGCACAATTCCTTTCCATCTATAAACCTATGAAACTAAAGCTTATATACACAGGTATATAAACATCTAACTATATAATCCAGCCATTCTACTCCTAGAGACAAGTTATTTGACCCCAACACACCCAACATACAATAGTGGGCCAGGAAAAAGATAACCATTATAGACACTCCAGTTAAAAGGCTGGGGTCAGGGAGGTGAGAGTAAAAAAGGGTCCACAGCAATTCTGAAATCCAGCTGTGAAAATACTGGGAGTTCCTTCATTAAGTTTTAATTAAGGCCTGGAAATAATCCTCTCAGCTTTCTGCTCTACCCTCTGAGCTCTTGGTTTTGACCTCTGAGTCATCCTTCCTTTTTCATGAAACATAGCACATGTTTGTAGCTAAGTAATTTTATTAGGCTGCTTCCTGCCAGTAGAATTTTGGGGGTCTGATAGCCTTCCTTTATTTAGAATCTTTTGCCATCTAGAGAGATTGAGAATTTTCAAAATCATCAAGTCCTGGTTTCTTTATGTTTAATAGTTTTTCCCTCAATTTATCTCTCTCATCTCGTGTTTGATTATAAGCAGCAAGAAAAAAATCAGGCCTCACCTTCAACACTTTGACTGGAAATCTCCTTAGCTATACAACCAAGATCATCACTTAAAAGTTCTGCTTTCCATGTGACCACAGGAGACCATTTCACTAAGCTCTCTGCCACAAAATAACAAGCATCTCCCTACTTCCAGTTTCTAATAACATGTTCCTCATTTCCTTCTGAGCCCTCCCCTACAGCTTCCTCCAAATCCAGATTCCTACTAAGTCTGTTCAAGGTAATTTATGTCTTCTCTATCATGCTTCTCAAAGTTCTTCTAGCTTCTACCCATGAACAATCAAAAATGAAATTAAGGAAACAACTCATTTACAATAGCATCAAAAAGAATAAAATACTTAGGAATAAATTGAACCAAGGAAGTGTAAGACTTGTATGCTGAATACTACAAAATGTTATTGAAAGAAAATAGAGAAGACCTAAAGAAATAGAAAGACACCCTCTGTTTATGGATTGGAAGACTAAATATCGTTAAGATGGCAATACTCCCTAAATACATCTACAGATTGAGTATAACCTTATCATAATTCTAACTGCCTTTTTTGTAGAAATGATCCTGAAATTCATACAGAAATGCAAGGTATCCTGAATATCCAAAACAATATTGAAAAAGAACAAATTTGGAGGATTCATACTTCTTGGTTTTAAAACATAATACAAAGCTACAGTAATCAAAACAGTGTGGTACTGGCATAAGAACACATACTGATCCAAGGAATAGAATCAAAAGTCCAGAAATAAATCCACACATCTATGGCCAACTGATTTTCAACAGGGGTGCCAAGACCATTCAATGGGGGAAGAATAGTCTCTTTAAGAAATGGTACTGGCAGGGAATATAGCCAATATTTTATAATAACTATAAATGGGGTATAACCTTTTAAAATTGTGAATCACTATGTTGTACAACTGAAACTTACAGAATATTGTAAATCAACTATATGTCAATCAAAAACAAATTCAGATAGGAAAAAAAAAAGAAATTGTGCTGGCACAACTGGATAGCCACATGGTAAAGAATGAAGTTAGACTCTTACTTCACACCATATACAAAATATCAACTTGAAGTGGATTGAAGGTACACATTTAAGAGCTAAAACTGTAAAACTTAGAAGAAAACATTGGAGTAAATCTTCATGAGCTTGGATTTGGCAGTGGATTCTGAGATATGACACCAAGACCACAAACAACAAAAGAAAAAATAAATAAACTGGACTCCATCAAAATAAAAAACTTTAGGGTGTATCAAAGGACATTATCAAGAAACTGAAAAGACCGCCTACAGAATGGGAGGAAGTGTACGTAAATCATACACCTGATAAGAATCTAGTACTCACAGTCTATAAAGATCTACAACTCGAAAACAAAAGAAAAAAACAACCCAATTTAAAAATGGGAAAATAGGGCTTCCCTGGTGGCACAGTTAAGGATCCGCCTACCAAAGCAGGGGACACGGGTTCGAGCCCCAGTCCAGGAAGATCCCAGATACCGCAGAGCAACTAAACCCATGCACCACAACAGCCTGCGCTCTAGAGCCCACGAGCCACAGCTACTGAAGCCTACATGCCTAGAGCCCATGCTCTGCAACAAGAGAAGCCACCACAATGAGAAGCCCACACACCACAACAAAGAGTAGCCCCCACTTGTCGCAACTAGAGAAAGCCTGTGCGCAGCAACGAAGACCCAATGCAGCCAAAAATAAATAAATAAATTTATTTTTTTTAAAATGGGCAAATAACTCAGACATTTCTCCAAAGAAGATATACAAATAGCCAATAAGCACATGAAAAGATGTTCAACATCATTATTCATTAGGGAAATCAAATCAAAACCAAAACCACAATGAGACACCACTTCAAACCTACTAGGATGGCTGTATTTTTTTTAAAAAAAGAAAAGGACAATAACAACTGTTCATGAGGTTGTGAAACTGGAACCCTCATAAATTGCTGGTGGGAATGTAAAGTGGTACAGCCACTGTGGAAACAGTTTGGCAGTTCCTCAAAAAGTTAAACATAAAATTACCATATGACCTAGCAATTCCACTCAAAGTAATATAATCAAGAGAAATGAAATATATCCACACAAAACCCTGGCATGAATGTTCATAGCAGCATTAGTCATAATAGTCAAAAAGTGGAACCAGGACTTCCCTGGTGGCGCAGTGGTTAAGAATCTGCCTGCCAATGCAGGGGACACGGATTTGAACCCTGGTCTGGGAAGATCCCACGTGCCGCAGAGCAACTAAGCCCAGGCACCACAACTACTGAGCCTGAGCCTTAGAGCCTGCAAGCCACAACTACTGAGGCCGCATGCCACAACTACTGAAGCCCATGTACCTAGAGCCTGTGCTCCACGACAAGAGAAGCCACCGCAATGAGAAGCCTGCGCACTGCAACGAAGAGTAGCCCTGCTCGCCACAACTAGAGAAAGCCCACTCACAGCAATGAAGACCCAATGCAGCCAAAAATAAATAAGTAAAAAAATTTATTTTTTAAAAAAAGTGGAACCAACCTAGATATCCATCAACTGATGAATGGATAAACAAAATTTGGTATTCAAAACAAAATTTGGTATATCCATGTGTTATGGACTGAATTGTGTCCCCCTCAAAATCCATATGTGGAAGCCCTAACCCCCAATGTGACTAGGTTTGGAAATAGGGCCTTTAGGGAGGTAATTAATGTTAATTGAGTCAGAAGGGTGGGACCCTAATCCTATAGGGTTGGTATCCTTGTAAGAAGAGGAAGAGACATCACAGCTCTCTATTTCTGTGTGTGTAAAGAGAAGAAGTCAGGCAAGGACAGAGGGAAAAGGCAGCTGCATAGGAGCCAGGAAGAGAGATCACACTATAAACCAACCCTGACAGCACCTTGATCATGGACTTCCAGCCTCCAGAACTGTGAGAAAATAGATTTCTGTTATTTAAGCCATCCAGTCTGTCATATTTTATGGCAGCTT